TCTTTTTGGGCTTAGTTTTCTCCTTAACAGGAGAAAATTAAGCCCAAGAAGCCGCTGCACTGTACACGACACAGGGGAAAAAAGCAGAACGTTTGCGTTTCACGTCAAGTGCTACGTAAGCTGCTTCTTTTGCCTTGACGATGCGTTGAGCATGAAGGCTCAAATGCGCGCTTCTGCAGGTGCGATATGGACCCTTTAAGAAGCAGCGCTCAGAAATATCCGCTACGGACGTGATTGTCGTGCAGTTTTTCTTCCCTGACTCATACGGATAAACAGAGTGGAGGAATGCATTTTTTTTGGCAATTTTCCCAGGTCAGTCTGCTCCTACATTCCTGTATACTAGTTGATCTGTGGCAGAGCTGAATTGTAGTCTGTGTCATACCCTACTTACATGCAGATGAGAAAGATGTGAAGTACCTGGGGCTGTAAGCTGAAGTATTGATGCCACACTTTCGCCGGCTTCGTGCGTTTATATGTTTGCAGAGACGCAGTGGAGTGTTCGCACTATTTAAGTGGGAAAATACTTACCTATTCTATGCATTGTGGCAGGAACTACGCATCATGCTCAAGAAAATGATTACGTCATTGACGGAACCTATCAATCGGTCTTCGATAGCCTGTGAGTGCCTAGAATCTCCCAATGAATTCCGTGCACCGCTAGATCAAGTTTTGCAAGACATCGTGAAGGTTTGGCTTGTGCCTAAGTACCAGTATAGCTCAAGCTTACGGTTAGAAATGCAACGTAGCGACGAAAGGCAACTACCCGCCTAAGCTGGGGGAGCCACTTCGTACCCAAGCTACATATAATTTGGTGGCAAATGTTTTTGAATGGAATTCTCGCTGCTATGCAGATCTAGGCGCTTACTCATCAAGTGAGCGCTTGTCGAAATTTTCTGTGTGCTGTGTTCCCCCGGTTTAGGCGAGCAGTTGGCTTTCGTCGCTACGTTGCATTCCTAATTACGAACTTGAGCTATAGTTTCGCAGTGCGCTTGCATTGTGGCTACTGTGATTCAGCTCAGCCTTTTGTTTCTTAGAACATGAAATATATGAACGCTAAATTTTCTGCCAATAGTTTGCTCCTTCACAAGCGGATTTCGGCATTGATGAGAGCCAAATTTGCTTCACCGGAGCTGTAATTTTGAACAGTTGTGTATTCTTGCGGTTATTTTGTCCATCGCTCAAGGATTTCGCGCTTACAAATGTAAGGGCTCTATTTTACTCAAAGGCGCATGCATTGTGGGCCATGGCTGATGTGAAACGTGCGGGGTTTCAGGTGATATTTTTAGCATAACGTGGAGCACATTCAAATGGTTTGTAAGTAGTTATGCCTTTAAAGGCACGTTTCGATGCCGCTGCCCTCTGCCAGACTCAGAGGAATCATGGATGAGTTTGCCGTTGATGCAATAAAGGGGAAATCGCGCGTCTTTGTCGCTGTTCCTTCGAGTTTGAAAAATTAAATGGGTCGTCTACTCTCATGAATATTCCGCCATACAGCTTGGTAATGTGCGATAAGCTGAATGCTGTTGGCTTTCAGTTTGATTCGATTGTTAAATACTGTTGATTCCAGTATAGTGCAGACTGTGGTGCATGCAAGAGCAGGTTTATGTCGGGGTCATGTCGCATTCTTCATTAAATCTTACATCAGAGCCACACGCCAATTGGAACAAAAGTAAACATAGAACATTGTGGGGGCAAAATCGGTCAAATTTTGTCTGTCAGAGGCGTTTGCCTCGCTGGAGAACCGCGTCAGGCGTTGCCTATCAGTTATTTCTGCTGCGTGCAAGAATACAACGGTCATGCTCGTCACTTGCCGAAAAGCAGGACTGGATTTGCGATTGTTCAGTAGTTGCGGGCGCTTTTTAGTGTGAAAGTTTTTTTATTCTTCCAGTGCTTCTGTGTATGAAGTGTGTCATAGACGACGTGGCTGCTTTGCGAGTACTCGTGCTGCCTCGAGGAAGTTTTGTCGCCGTGCCTTGAATAGCAATTCAAGGCAGGACGACAATCGTTTGTTTGTTTGGAATGATATGCAGCGCTAATTAAAATATATCACATACAGCTCGAAGTGCTTGCCTGTTCTGTTTCTAGGTATGAGGTAGCGGGAAAATTCTGCGGATGGGATCTTTTCAAGCCACAAGTCCCACTTGTCTGCTCGCCCGCTTTGCCAGCCTCATTAAATCGATTTTCTTTTCTGTTTTTCACTGTATGTACGGCTTTTCTAATATATCTTTTCTACATATCTGCGTCACTGGAGATGCTTTTGCTCCCAACAAAAAAGAACAGCGCCAACCCACTTTTCAATATAGCACGGGATAGGTACTGTACAGCGCGTTGCACGAAATGAAGAGAACATGAATTCCAGTAAAGCATGAGGTGAATCGTTAGCATGCCTGTGGCGCATTCAATCGTCGGTGCATTCTGATGCAGCTACTTAAAGCACATTTGCTAGGCTATAGAGGGAGAACGCATCACTCGTTTGATCCAAGCATGAGCTGCAGCGGAAACGTGTGAACTACTCGCCGAACCTCTAGTGGATTATCAACGAGTCTGTAAAGCCGTTAAGAACGTCAAGATCTGTCCTGCAATGGACAACGAAACACAGTTTACAGCTTCTGTTGAGAGTTCATCCTTAGCTGCTGAGTGGCTGCCAGGTAAAGCTACAGAATCACACTTTGAGAAGCTCTTGCGTACATGCACAAGAAATGCCACTGTGGTCAATAAGGCTAACCAAAATATGCACAGCGCATACTTACGCAAGGCGTGGATGTTTCGAACAAGTGCTAGCACTTTTTTAAGACATCCATGCGCCAAGAGACCACACAGAAATATAGACACCGCCGGCGAAAATTTGGAGTAGCTTGTAAATTCGTCGAGAGCAAACAACTACAAGGTGCGTTGGATTTGTATGCAGGACCAAGACTCGAAACTATACTTCAATGGTTTTGCGTGAATACACACGAAACGCATCTGGCTGCAATGCAGATGAAAGCTTTAGCCACGCCTCTAATAGGCTTCCTGTGTTGCCACACTGTTGACTTGGCGAGCCAGGTCACTTGCCCTGACGGTATGATTCTACTCCCAATGAATTCTTAATTGTTTCTTCATCTTGTCTTTCGATGGCTTTTCCAGATGGCTTTCGGGGCGTTCAGTAGGTGCCCTGCGTTCGTTCACTTGCGTAGAGAACAGCCCGGGAACTTTGGGGACGTATCTGTTTCGGAGCACACTCCCGAGTTTCCGAGCACGCAATGTTCTCTGTCCGTTATCTGGAAGCATCTTCGAAATTCAGTGCTCGGAGCAATGGTAAGAAACACTTCCCAGTAAGAGCCGTTTGATAGACAGAGGAGCAGTAAAGGAAATGTGCAAAACTGGAGCTTCAAGGCAATAATATTTACCGAGAACTATACGGCACGAATTGATTAATACAACATTATGAGCGAGCTTCAAGGCGATAATATTTACCGAGAATTGTACGGCACGAATTGATTAATACAACATTATGAGCTCAAAAAAGCAGAAATTCCGAAGAAGTCCAGAATTTTAGTGGGCCAAAGGGAAATTTCAGCCTTTCTCGTCATCATGCAACTTAGCATGGGTCGTGGCTTTGCAGAGTACAACAGAACGAGCGGCTTTCGCTGCAGGAAACGCTTTAAGCGTTAAGGATAAAACTCGCTCAGGAAAATGCACTGCTGAATGAAAGAAGGATTTCACTAACGTTTTTTTTTCGCCCGCACCAACTGCCATTTGCTCAGGCTTTTATTCCCTTGTTTCCAGGCGTTTTCAAGTCCTTCTCTGCATGATTGTTTTTTTTTTGCATACTGCTACTCAAAACGTAGGAGCACAGCCGGTGTGCTAGATTCATCTGCTCACCTGTATGCTTTCAAAGTAATGGTTCAGTGGTGCGTCATGGCAGTGGGTCCATGGTGGCTTCGGAACAGCATTAGCACCATCAACTAGGTCATACACTGCTTAACACTATGTCTTTTATAGTTTTAAAAAGGACACTTTGATTTGTTCCAGTCTGAGTTCGCGTGTGGTACACGCATGAGAGCAGTCGCATTCTGCGCTTTAATGCCTGATTAAATACTTGTTGAAACATCCGAAAATTCATTTTAGTACACACTGAATAGTATACGTGGCACCTGCAGTTTACTTTTCGCCTTGGCTTTCAGTTTCAAGCATTCCCCGAGTGTATGCATGCAAAGAAGTGGAATGCTACTCAGTGAGAGAGACCTTCACTGTAATGCGCCAGTACTACAATGGGGCTTGTTGGTGGCCTATGGAGGATAGCTAGCTGATGACCTATAGGCGGCTAAGAGGATAAGACACTGATTGAGCGCTGTAACCTCTTCCTAGTGGAATAAAAATGCAATTTATTAACAAATTATCATGTATAGACTAGAAATGCCTGCGAAGGCTCTAAGATTGGGGCTGCCGACAACGCCGGCCCAGGTGCGCGTCACATCCTCACCGGACCAGCACAGCAAGAACAAGAAGGAACGATTTTTATGAAAATATAGTTTTGAGAACTCGAAACAAAATGGTCTTTTTAATACATTTGTAGACCTTACGCGACCTATGCGTCGGTAGTAGAGAATGTTTCTTAGGACGTCAGTGTTGGGGCCAGTGCAGCATCGTAGACGCTGCAGAGAACGCAGTGTACTACATTTGGGGTCTGCTCCGGGATTTAAAATCTACTTTTTCTGGACCTGACGGTAGAACTACTTTGCTTTAATAATTCGCACCTAGATATCTTTGCTGAGTAAGGGATGCACCTACGCAATGGGCGCGTAGTCGGACCTATGCAACAGGAGACTTCTACAATGTCAGTAAACAAATTGCCCAGTCGAACACCAACCCAACCTCGGCATGCTACTCCGAAACCCACTGTGGCAGAGCGGCCGCACGGGCATAAGGAGACACCCCAGCAGGTGGCACCTATAGCAAATGTTAACGGCATGCGAGGGGACAGTCCGTACGTAACATGGGACCAATTTCACTCTGCGATGGCTGTGATAAAGAATGTTATAGGCGGGTCTGGAGGATCGAGCGTAACGACGCCTATACTCCCTGAAGACGGCAGTACTATGCAGGTCTTTTTAATGCGTATCGAACGACGGTAGACCCAGATGGAATTGGAGACCAGTGAGTGGGGGAACGCACTTATCGATCATCTTGTCTGTACGCCTCTAATATATTGGATGTGTCTACAGCGAACTATCGACCTAACCGATTGGGCGACTGTACAGCGCCGGCTTCTGGAACGGTTCGACAAGACAATGTCGCAGAGTCAACTGCTAACGGAGTTGGGTAAAGTACGGTGGAATGGAAACCCTAAAGAGTATACGAACCAGTTTGCGGCTGTAGGGGAGCGTGGAGTGGGGATCGCTTCCGACGAACTCGCCGGCTTCTACTGCGCTGGGCTATCAACTAATCTCCATCTTCTCATTACAAATAATGGGCTGGTGAGGTATTCCTCCTGGGAACAAGCGGCGACGGCAGCAGCGCGACTCTATGAACCTAGGCAGACTGTGCTAGGGCTACGAGAAAGGGCTAGTCGAGCGATAAGGGCTGCTACAGAGGCAAATGCAACCCATCGGAAACAGGAAAATGAAACTAGGCCTGCAGGAAACTCCGGGAACTGCTACGAGTGTCAGAGTCGTGGGCACCCTGCACGAGTTTGCCCCAGCAAAGGGGAACGAACCAAGCGGCCAGGCGAGACCTGCAAGAAGTGTGGAAGTGTTGGACACTATGCTCGTGACTGTCCTACAGACGACCGAGGCCGTGCCGAGCCGGAAAACAAGAGCAGTAGGCAACCTGTCCGTCCCAGCACTGAGAAGACCGAACGTTTAAACCGCGAGGCCTAGGCGTGGTAGGAGACGAGCTTTCTAGACCGCATAGCCATGGCAAAGGGATGATGTGTGGGGGTGCGACAGGACCTAATGCCGTTCCAGTCTCCCTAGAGCGGGGTAACCGCCTCCTCAACACAGTAGAGGAAAACAAAATGAGTTATGAGGACGTGCAGGTGATTCAGCCGCCTTCGAAAACGCGGTTGGAGTCTGTGCAGGCGCCAATGCAGTATGGAGAGGCTCCGTGCGTGAAGACGGATAGCAGCGGGAAATCTGCAGAAGCGAGTGACGAAGACTGCAGACGTCTAGCGATAGACACTGTGCCGCACTCTTGCAACCGTGGACGAGCCTTGTGTTGCGTGGGCGCAACAGCGGTACTTCGCGTTGAGCTTACAGGAAGTTCATGCGAGGCACTTTTAGACACAGGCGCTTCGAGAAGTTTCATTAACCCTAAAACAGTCCAACGATTGCAGCTGAGGATGCGGAGACTCCCAGAAGAGCATAGGTTCACCGTAGCTACAGGTGAACAATTAAGCATTGATCGAGTTGTGACGGGGTTGACGATGTGGTGTGGAGACACACGCTTTTCCAGGGACTTCTTAGTGAGACGCGTTCCCTATGATTTAGTCCTGGGTTTGGATTGGCTGACTGAAAATAAGGTGGCCTGCTATTTTCTGTCCGACAAGCTCTGGACCTATGTGAACGGCAAGTGGTGCAAGTTATCGGTCGTTAGGAAGGGTAGAGAGACACTGCAGGGTGACAGTCACATAGTAGCACCTCCAAGAACTCCTGTAGAGCAAGCGTATGACATTTTGGCTAAGCAAGTGGCGGGTATGTCAGCGAAGGAGGCAAACATATTCCTACGGCCGCACACCTAAAAGGTACAAGTCCCATGCAAAGACTAAGGCGAAGGCACAGATAATGTAGTGCACAGGCACTACAATAGGGCTTGCTGGTGGCCTATTGAAGAGAGCTAGCCGGTGACCTGCAAGAGGCCATAACATTCTACGAAGACAGGATCCTCTTACTAGGACCGAAGTAAGCCAATTTGTCGGCGAATTAGCGTGTATACACTAGACATGCCTGAAATTACCCGGAGATTGGGGCTGGCGATAGCGCCGGCTTCGATTCAGGCCTCCTCCCCACAGAGCCTAGGGGCCAAGAACCCCGAGTGGGGACGATTTACAGAGACAGATTTTGGAAAACTTAAGAATAACTGCATTTCGATATATATAAGCTACTGTTTCAAGGAAATGGGCCGACGTTAGGTGCCGGTCATGGGTCCTGCTCGAGGGGCAGGTAGCACCGTAGTCGCAGCAGCACGCGCTATCCACTACATTTGGGGGCTGTTCGGGAATTGAAATCTTTGTTCTTTCCGGACTTGGGAGTAGAAATACTATGTTTTAATAACTCGTGCCTAGAAATCTTCGCTCGGTACGGCATGCATCTCCGCAACGGACGCGTTATCGGCGCCACACCGCAGGAGACTTCTACAATGTCAGTCAACAAAATGCCTAGCGGGACGCCAGCCCATCATCGCCACGCGACTCCGAAGCCCATCGTGGCAGAGCGGCCGCATGGGCATAAGGCGGCGCCCCCACAGGTGATACCTATGATCAATCA